TATGTCATCATACTGCTATAATTAATTTTAGGATTATGCCAGAGAAAATTTCCTGAAATTTGGAAATATTATTTACTAATAATAAATAAATTTAGAGGGAAGAAGCAACATTAAATTATATGAATAACATAAAAATAATTACTTAAAAATTGAATTAGAATAATCAACGATATTTTAGCGAATATAGTTATATTACATGGCTAGCCTAGATGACTGATTACTATTTTTTTATTTTACTGCAAAATGGCAAGGTATTTATTAAAAAAGAAAAAAAAAAAAGGTTTAAAAAGATTTTGCGGTAAAATTCTAGTATACGGTAAGGCTTTGGCACGATTTTGAAAATTGTCGCCAAGACCAAAATGACCCGTTTACTGCGCATCATGATGTCGCCAAATCCCATTATTATTCTAAACAAAGAACGACTATGTAAAGAAGAAAAGGTTCCATACAAGTAAAATGCTATTACGCCGTTAGAATGCGGAGGGAAAATTTGCCAAGGGATTTGGCGACGGAACCTGGCGGCCAGAATTTCTCTCTTCGCGATGTGTACAGGAAATTGAGAAACACGTGAAGAAACGCTCTTTGACAAAAACTACGAAAATCCGTTTTTAAAATTATTGCGAAAAATCCACGCAATAATTTTAAAAACGGATTTTCGTAGTTTTTTCCCCCTGAAAATAACTAATCCATGAATTAATTTACTTGCGCCAAAAAATATTTTCTTTTCCTTTAGAGTTTAACCACTTGCGCTAAGACTAAACTTCACGGTTGGGGGTGCAGTACGCTACAATATAACAAGCGGTAAAGTGTCTCATTTACGCCGCTCCGCATCTGCGAGTGCAATCCAGAGCTGTAACTCGAGAAATAAACAATCTCGTTGTTAGGCGACGTGTGCACCACGTTATTTTCATTTTTGCGATAAATGCTTATCGACGTGGTGTTCACGTCGCTCACGGTTTGAGACAAAAGCATCTCGACGTGCGTGGCACGTCTTTTTAGCGCAAGTCGTTCAAGAAATTTTAAACGATTATTCATTTTATGAAACTCTTGATAACGTGACCTTCGAACTTCGACGACAGATATATCAGACATGCACAGCTGTTTCACTCTATGATGGAACGGAGCCACGTCTGTTGCAGAGAGGTTTTCCTTCTTTACAATACATATTCTTTGATTCTAACCTCCATGGTACCGTATATAATAGGATTAAACCCATTTTGTTTTATGCAAGAACAGGTACTTTCTTTAGTTCATGCACTGCACATGCGATTCTCGAGAATAGTGGAAACCAAAAGTTGCGGGAAAGTTGCTTTGCCTTTCTAAAAGACAATCAAATTGGAGCTGCGAAAATTGGCTCTATGCCAGCTACCCGAATGACACTCACGTGATACATAATTCGCCAAAAAACTTCCGACGTCGGCGCAAAAATCGCTTTTTTTGGCGGCATCGTTTATGAACTTCCCTGACTTTTCCAGATTTTGACAAAAATACTTAAATTCCCTGACTTTTCCATGAATATTTTGGTCAATTTTCGAATTCCCTGACTTTTCCCGGTTCTCCAGGTAGCGTGGCAACCCTGATCAAAGTGGAGCTGCGAAAATTGGCTCTATGCCAGCTGCCCGAATGACACTCACGTGATACACAATTCGCCAAAAAAGTGATCTCTTCCGACGTCGGCGCAAAACTCGCCTTTTTTGGCGGGATCATTGTATGAAATTCCCTGACTTTTTCAGATTTTGACTAAAACACTTAAATTCCCTGACTTTTCCCTGAATTTTTTTTGTCAATTTCCAAATTCCCTGACTTTTTCCGGTTTTCCTGGTAGCGTGGCAACCGTGGGATGGTTGTCCAGAGCAGACAGCATCTTTGAAACTTAAATTTCTGCACTTCTCAAATTACCTTCAAAGTTTGTCATCAAAAACAGCAAATTTTATAATCACTCAGCTGGATTAGCACTTTTTTTTTTCAAAATAAAAGAGAATAATATGACAAAAGTGAAATTTCAGGTTATTCATTTTTAGCACTGCAGTGAAACAAAAAGTATGCCACAGCACATATTAGAGTTTTGCAACGTGAGCAGAAAAGACTGTTTAAACCTATGCTTTAATCAAGGTCAGTCCTCAAAAGTAGCAAAGCTATTAAAAAAAATGGTGTGATTTGAAAAATCACAGAACCTTTTGGGTGACCTTTAAGCTTAATGTCTGGTTTTTTATATCTAAAATTGCAAGTAAAAGTTTCTGAAAATGTCAATCTTGTCATAAGATTTAACAATTTTTTAACATATCACAAATGTGGCAATAAATTTACAACACAATCATTTGCTAGGTTTAGTACTTTTATTAGGTTTCCCAACACATCTTTGCTTCAAAGATTCTATGATGCATTTTAAAATCTCTTATTCATACCGAAAGATTTAATATTTTTTATATCTAATTAATTCCTACTTACATCAGTTTTCAAAACTCTTTTTCTATCTTGCTCTCTGTTGAGATTCAATGATCTGCAAAGGAGGAGGCTGTTTTACTTGCCAACTCATTCAATGAACAGCAATTTCACAAAACTGATCAGTAGCTCTTTAGAGTCACCCATTGACAACTCTTGCTGGAAGAATGCCAGGGAAGTTTGATTCCTATTTTAGAGAAGAAATGAAAATTTCTCCTCCATGTTAAAAGGGAAATAATTTTTTTATTCCAGAATATTATTATTAGTTTCGTACAGAATGGATATTTTAGGGAATTTCAAAACTATAGCTGAAAGAGATCAATCCAGGAGTTAGCAGTTTGAGTCAACTCTTCTGATTCCACTGCTCATTCAATTCTTTCCACTCTTTGCTCCACTATAGCAAACTGCTAAATTCACTCTGCATTCCTAATCTTATTCATCAGGGTTATTGTTACCAAACAAAATGTAGTAAAACAAAACTGACTCAGTTTAGTGAGCAAACAATTCTATCTGATCTCATACATTGGCCTTGCCCACCTCTAGTCTGCAAATGGATACCAGATATCATTTAGTATGAAAGCCTTACAAGGTGATATGTAAGCCAAGATAAAAAAAAAAAAAAAAAAAAAAAAAAAAAAAAGAAGAAGAAGAAGAAGAAGAATGTATTGGTATTAAGGTGATAGCACAACTGATGAATGTAGAATTACAAGAATTGGATTAACTGTATCACACTTAGTGACCATTACACTAAAGAGGTTACTGGATGCTGTTTTTGTGATGCCACAGACAAAGGTTTTTTTTTTTTTTTTTTTTTTTTTTTAAATGGATAATAACACCACACCTCATTGGTTCAGAACAGTGAAAGATCTCTTCAATAGCAACAGTACCCACAGAATTAGTTAGCCTGAACATTCTATATATTTCAGCTTCACTGAGTACACTGGATTCAACAGTTCAATCTTTTGCTAGACGACCTAATACATGCTCTAAAATAGGAATGGAGTTATCTGTCTTAAAAGCTGCAAAATAACAAGATGATGAATGTGTTCATGGCATTGTGATTACTGCACTACAGCTTATGCTGGTCATATACCTTATTGAAAATTTGAATTGTCTCAGCACTAGTAAATTTTTTTCATCCATCCATCATCTGTGCTAACTCCTGTGTGTGACTTTTTTTGCAAAAGACTTGCTTTGTTATTTTAAATACGTTATTAATTTTCTTCTTCTAATAGCTGTTAGAAAATAAAAAGCTTGTCATATTTGTCTCTTTTATGCAGTTTTTAAAATTTCTGTAACAGTAAATGTATTGCTTATCATTCAGCTTTCAACATGCGCATAGTGTTATATATAACAAGATGATGAGGAAGCAAGACTTTGCTATATATGATAACTCCATAACTTGACTAAAAATATCTAAAATATATTAAAGCACCAACAGGATGTTTAGTTTCCCAAAGAAACTAAAGTATTCAATGTATTAAACAAATCAAGGAGCCAAATTTCTAGGTCTAAATGTAACACTATTTTTTTATATAAAACAATTATTATTTTCTGAAACATTAATTTCATCCTTTCTCACTGTGTCACAAAGACTTAATTTATCAGTGATATAGCAAGACCTTTTTAAAATGATTTAATACATACAGATTTTTTTTTTTTTCTGGAGCATGTTCCCCTTGCCATTTTCTGTCTTTACAGCTGGTAAGCTATACAATACATCTATGTTTTCAAGTGTTGTCAAGGAAATTAATTCATTTCTATGCTTGAAAGTATTGTAATCAATTTGATTTATGTCAAAGCTAGCAATTAAATACACATATGCATGTGATTTTTTTATATTTTATATTTCATAAATCTTAGTGATTAATATTATATTAACATGCTAGAAACAGAAAATAAAAATGCTGATTTCGGTTACATGATTAAAATTTATTAAAGGTGCTGCTGACAGGCTGTTGCAGAAGACGTTAAAAAAATAAAGACATACAATTAAATTACTTAGTATAAATTTTATGCTGGTTAAACTAATCAAAGTACAAAGTGATTCAGAAAAATTATTTAACTAAACCAAAACTTAAGCAAGTAGGTTTCATTAGGTGAATATTTTAAATAAGCAGAGAATATTTTTGAAATTATTACACAATTTATAATGCACAGATTCCGAAAAAACAAACTGACATGTACATTTACATACTTATTTACAATATTTCAAATAATTAAATGTTTTAAAGTTTCTTTACATTATTTACTACATATCTTTGCAAATAATTCATAATTTTACTAATATAATGGTATCAATAAAAAAACAATACACATTTACTTTCTCTTTAATAGACTTCAAGAGTCAGAATAAATATATTATTCAAATCAACAATTTTTATCACTGATAATCACTTTCCCTAACAATCACATCCACAAAGAATCAAAATCATTTGGAAACATGAGTGATCACCTTAGAGAGATTTACTGTGTTTTGATTCCAAACAAATAGTAAAGAATTTCTACTAAAGCAATATTTTATGTTTCATTAGGTTAAAAAAGAAAAGTATTCTTACGCTTTCATTTCTTCAAATTCTTTAGCTTCTTCTTCTTCTTTACTTAGTGCAGTTACAGGTCGGCATCTTTTCACAGCTTGAAGTTTAGGTGACTGAGGTTTACATGAATGTGGAGACCAGTGTTCCAGAGGTTGATCATCTATGAACAGAAAGAAATTGAATCAGAGGACGTACAAAGGGTCTATATTAAAAAAGATAAATTTTACAGGAGTAAAAAAAAACTGACCCATTTCTTACAATAATGTCAGATGTTTGAAAAATGCTGAATTACATGGATCCTAATTATAATCTCATAATGTTTTGTTATCTTCCGACATTCTTATGAGGATAGTTCCCCCCTCCTGTAAAATTTGACTTCTGTCACATAGCCTCTTTTTACATTTTCTAATTTAATTAATAAAAAGTTAATTTCAAATTATCTTCAGTACAGCATAAAGCCCCAAACCCAGATTTCTGGACAATCAACAATTTTTTTTGCAAAAAGAAGGAAAGATTTAAATTACAAAAGTAGCATCTCGCTTTCTATAAGCTAATGCTTCATGCATGCGCAACATACATTTTTTTTTCATAATAAAGCATGTGAAAAGTCCCTGGTCTTAGTTTTAGTTTGGCACTACATAAAGTACCTTCATGTTGAAGAAATACAACAACTTATTAGCTTAAACCTATGCAATGAAAAATTTGTTGGTTTCATAGCCATTTTTCTGGAATGCATCTCAAATTGAAACATTCTATCAAAGTTCATCGCTGATTTTACATTAGTAGAATGACATTTTGATAACTTTAAAAATGGGCATATAAGGCATATTTTTTAATTAACCTTTAATGTAATTAATTTAAAATCCATAAATATAAAAACTGAATGATTAAAAATACTTCTGAAAATTATATCCACATCTAATTAGAAATTTTCATTTTATTATTACTTAAGCAGAAATATTAAATCTACTAACATATTCTTGAAACAAATATTTTAAATCACATATGATCGCAGAGGAAACTAGAACATATAAACCATATATCATCGAGATATTTTAATTCTGACTTTTACAGTGAAATAACAAAGAACTCTTTCTTAAAATTCTAAACAGACAAGTTAATGTACATATAATCATAAACAAAAATATTTAACTCATTTATAAACTATGAAAATAAAGATTTATAAGTAGCACGCTTCACAAGGTTAAGTTCTGAATTAGACAACCTTTTCTTATAACACGGTTCTTCATTTGCCTGCATGTTTATTTTTTCATTGAGAAAGGAGTTTTCCTATCTAAATTTGATCAAAATAGAGTCCAATACTTTTTTTTTTTTCAAATATTAGAAAAAATTCTTTCACAGGCTGCATTTGAATGAGATATTTTTTTTTGGTACTCTTCTGTTATGGGGCCAGATTGAGAAATATATGTATATATGCATGTATATGCACACACATTTAAGCACATAAATGCCTATATTTCTGAATCCAGTCCTGATAACAGAAGAGTACTTATTTTTTTGCTATCATAGGATCCAGAAACATCGGGTTTAAAAGCTATTCTGAACCATCTGAAACTGATATTGGAAGGTTGTATTCAATTAAAAATCAAATTAAATAGCATTTGCTTTTATGACATCTGTTTCATTGGCTTTTATAGCCCTAATTTTTTCATGCCACTGTGGCGAACGATGCACGCTCCGCTCTTGGGGAACGGATTGGGCCTCCAGAACAAGAATTGAAAAAGAAAGTTTGTTTTTTGAGAACTGGCAACGATGAGTGTATGCTTTTAGAACAGTGACACAGTAGAATAATGATGCTTTTAGATATGAATAACAATGATGCTAAGTAGTTAGAAGTGTTTTCTGATGTTGCAATGATTTAGAAATTGTTCCTCTTTTGTGCGAAATGTCAAATAAAGTGATTCATACAAAATAGTGCCAATTTTAGATGAGTTGGAAACCAAATCGGAGTCTACAAAAGCGGCGGACCAGGATGGAAGAACGCGGATCATAAAGGTAAGCAACCTTTCGTCATTTGCTTATCTAGAATTTTGAATGATCTGTTTTTTACTGAATTGAAATGATAGCCATGAGTAACTTCGTCAATCATCTTTTACACTATGCACAACTGAAAATCTTCATTGCTAAAGAAAGGTGCAAGATTTACAAGAAGTTTAGATGGTTTAGTGCACAAAAATTCTGTAGAATATTAGTCTTTAAATTTCTGGCTCCATAATTTTAGCTTTTTTTTTTCTAAAGCTATATAATTCATGAACTTAAAAAAACTTCCAGTTTGACAACTCACAAGAAGCACATACCACATTTTCTTGCCATAATATAACCAGATGGACTTGCATGGTTAAATAAGTCCTTCAATGCAGGATACTTGATTGGAAAGATAAGGGCCGGAATCGGCAAGACCATCAACTTAAATGTGATACACAATGAACAGTTTCTCAAAAAAAAAAAAAAAAAAAAAAAAAAAAAAAAGGATAAAAGGTTGGTTTTCTCTTGCATACCATTTCTTTTGCCCTTCTTTGAGTAAAATCTGAAGTTTTTTAAGCATTTTCTGAAGCTCAGAGTTTTTAAGGAATTTCCATAGAAACTATGAAGAATTCATACCAATTCGAGTCTATGTCTACTGACTAACTCATATTCCTGATGACTATCGGGAAATCATTTATTGTTATTTATTTTCATCACCACATGACTATCAACTCATAACAGCTTGAGAAATGATTTCAACAATGTCTAAAACAATTCTTTTTTTCTTTAAATTAACATTTGAATATCAAACAGCACAGTAACCTTATGCTGACATTATGAGTGATTAGACTTCAGCCAACAGCATGTGAAGCACTGAGTGTGATGAGGAGGAGAAATTTAATAGAAGTATATTTCCTTATGCAAAATTATAGATTTTCTAAATGATATTCATAGGCCAAAAGATTCCATTTAGTGCTGAATTAAGAATAGGTGATTCGTTATTCGGGTAAGCCTTAAGTATATGTTTGAATTTATTTATTTGGGACTAAGATAATATTTTAGTATACATGGGAAATTGACATAAATGCAATAAATACCTAAACTAATATAATCTAGGCTAACTACCACAATGAACAACAGAAGCAAGACAAAATTTAGTGGAAAAACATGCCTTCAGTCATTTATCTTGTGAGACATCCCCAATAATGCACAGCAGATGGTACTTGCGGAAGGTACTTGGCATGCTTCAAGAAAAAGGTTTCAGGACACATTCCAGAAGTGGCAAAAATGTTGTGCAAGGGGACTATTTTGAAAGTGACATTATGTACATATAGATAAAATAGTTTCTTTTCAACAAAGCTAGTCTCAAAACTTTTTGATTCCCCTCCCCATACAGGCAAATTTTTAGCATCTAAATATCCTATTTCAGCTTATCTTGATGTTAAAGAATTAAGCTATGCTAAAAGGAAACAACTCTTGAAATCTGTAGTATGGTTTCTGAATGCAGAAAATGTCACTATCTGTAGTGAAGAAAGTGACAAAAAGTCTCCTGAAAACAAAAAAAATTTGACTGACAATTTAGTAGGAACTCTCAACTTTGCAGTTACAGAGCTTGAACATGAATGGAACTTCATAACTTCAACTGTAACTTAAAAACTTACATTGAAAAAAAATATTTAATACAACAAAGAAATAAATAGTTTTGAAAATGTTGATTCCCTTAAGATTATAAATGCTTCACTGATTCATAAACAACTATTTCATATTTTTAGCATGTCATTTTACTAGATTTAAATCGATGACCTAAAATCCGTCGGGAATCGTCAAAGTCCTGAAGATTTGAAATCTCAAACTTTGTACTGTGTAACCAGGGACTGACTTAGCCTAATTGGGGGCTGGGGCAAAAACTTCTTCGGAGGCCCCTTTCTGCTTCACTACTTCAGTAATGAACAACCGAACTTTATGGAGGTATTTAAAATTTTATAATACCATACTTGCCAACCTATGACACTCAAAAATCAGGAGATTTTTTTTAAGAAATCAGGAGATTTTTCGCAAAATGATAAAAATATAGTTTTTAATAATGAATTAACTTTAAATAGTTACTAATTCTTAAATGCAAGCAACACAAAAGTACCTTACACATAAAAAACATTTTTATTACTTGCATCGTAAAAAAAAAAATAATAATAATAACTTGAATCAGTTTTCTTACAAATCTTATGAACACTGGCAGATTATTATTTTGAGAACTGCCAGTTGAATTGCTGAAGGGTGCAGAAATTACTTTTCTCAAACCTATTTTTAACAATGGAAATAGTAACTACACCTCCATTTACTTTAGGTATTTTATAACTTTCAATAGAGCCTTTTATCTTAACACGTTCCCTGCCGCGTGGGACGTATGCGCCCCACGCTAAACTTCCGTTCAAGCCATTTGGTATTATCATTGTAAAATGAAGAATTTTTTAGCACTCAATTATGGGCATCTTAATACTACTGCTGATGCCCTCATTTAATTGTGGGGCATGATGGGCACTTTAATTTGATAAGAAGGCGCTGTAAAATTTGTTACGAAAGAAATGTTAAAAATTTGGTTTCCCAATCGGCAAGAAACTGTACTGTAAAAGTTGCGACATTCTGCGATAGTTGTGTGGATAAAGCAGACTTATGTTTGCCATGTTTAATAAAGTTCATAGTAACATCCCTTTGTAATTGCATACAAACTTGAATTTAACTAAAATGTTTTATTTAAAACTGATATACGTATGATAAAAAAAACATTATATGTGAGGATGCAACTTGCTTGGCATAGTAATGATCAGCCAGGTATTTGTTAAACTAATTCCTAGAAAAATAAATTTATTGGTTTGTTGTGTTATGCATGTTAAACTATACAACCTTTCCTTGATAATTATGATTTTTGCGCTATTTTAATTATTGTAAGGCATATGCCAGAAACAAAATAATACAAATGTAAAGCGTGGGGCGTATACGCCCCACCCGGCCTGAACAGGAAGTCTTCAAAAAACGGTCTGGCAGGGAACGTGTTAACTCTCGAAGCATTTACTTCTTTAATCCTTTCGTGGGCCATTTATTTCTCTTTTGAATTTCTCCCGTTTTTCATGTTTTATTATCAACTAAACAATAGCATTTAAGGAAATATATTTTATTTTGCCAAATTTTTTGTTTACATTTGGGGTGGGAATTATACTTCCCACGGGACCTTTTATGGTCATAGAGAAAATTCAATTTAAAGGCGATTATTTGCCGTGAAAAGATGAGAAACATATTGCAATGCAGAAGGGTACATCACATACCGCACACATATAGCGGGTCCTCTTTTCTTGGGCCTTTGTGCTACATTTCCTACATCGTCTATATTGGAAACCATGTTTGGTATATGATTTCCCACATTGGCTAAGAGTATATCATCCGGAATTGCACACCTTTTTGCTTGGAAGCTAGCTGGACGGCCTTTCCTTTTTCGAGGAATATCCGTCTATTTGTTGACGAGCTAATGCTATACGGAATGTTAGGTGGTCTAAACTTCTGTTTCTCTTGTTTACTTGCCACAGTATAAAACTATTTACGATGCCAAGATCAATAAGAAAATCAAAAATACGATGCCACCATTCTACAGATCTTCCTATTTGGTATCTTTCTTTTCTTTGATCGAAGCAATCAACCCCTTCCATGATATCGTTATATACGGCAACAGCTTTAGGTAAGCTTTTAGGTTCAGCTTTTAAGGTACTTCTGTTTTAGTACCATCCTTTTGTGTACGATTTACAGATGTAATAATCCCTGAATTGTGTGCAGTAGTCAACAATGTAACAGCCTTTTTGTCCATCCACTTTATTGCAGCAACACCTTCCTTAGTTAGGAACATTGATTCCCCTCTTTGTATTTAGCTTGTTATTAGCCTTCAGCATTGGTGGAAGATCCTTCCTTTGCAGCCTCACAGTCTCCACAGAAAACAGACCACTTATAAGTAAACTTTTTGCAAGCCTAAAAGACGTCAAATAGTTATCATAGGCTATAAGATGTCCTGCCTGTTTCACATCTTCCGTTAGTTTAGTTTGTTTCCCCTAAGCTCAATATTTTACCCTTATTATCAAAAGTTTCTTTTCCACAATAAATTTCAAATTTTTGAATATAACCACTCTTAGAGTCTGCTAAACACCACACCTTGTAACCTTTTTTTATAGGCTTCATTGGCATATACTGCTTCAATGAAGTTCTCCCTTTGAAAGCTATCATACATTCATCTATTCATAATGTTGACGAAAGTTCGTAGACTTTAGGTATGGAATCATTGAGCTGTGAGAGGATTGGTCTGACTTTATTGAGTTTATCATGCCCAAGTTGCCCACATGGATTTGTGCTGTTATCATTTACATGTAAAATCTCAGTTACTTTTTCGAACCTCTTTGCGATTATTATTCTTGGTACTGATTGAACACTGAGAATAGGGTCTGTTCTCCAGTAGTTTTTCAGTTCAGGCAATTGATGTATACCCACGAGTATATGCATACCTACCCATGCTTTCACTTCTTCTGATGTGATTTCTTTCCAGTTCAGGATAATGTCTCTTGTGGTATGACCCAATCTCTTCCTTTTCTTAGGCTGCTTTGCATATGAGTTTCATCAACACTATTCTGTAAAATTTCCTCAGTAAAAATCATGCCAAAATAATCCTTTTCTTTCTCAGTAGAATTGAATGTTATTTTCAAATGTATTTTTAAAAATATTCTAATTTTTCCAACATACCTATTGCACGTGGCTTTTATACACGATGCAATAGCATTTTCACTTTTCACCCATTATTTATTATTCAATATTAGATAGTTCTTGCAGAAATATACAAAATAAGAGAACGTTATTATAATAGAAACAGTGTTTTACTTACATTTGTAGCAGAATCGTATAGCAATGCAAATGTCAAATCAAAACAGGTGTCTCAGTGGAACAGATCTCACACAACGCGTTCGAACTTTCAAAACAAATGTGGTAATTCTGTTTTCAATCGATTCAACACAGATGGCAGCACAATACTGAAGTGGGCAAGGTACTTCTGGTACTGTTCTGTTTTATTAGAGTTCCCAACGTTATAATACCAAAGACAATATATTATAGTGGGTTTTGCGCTTCACAGGTGTATTTCCCAGGATCATGTAGGTGGGAAGTAATCTTCCCACGGCCCATGAAAGGGTTAAAAATGCAAGAAGGTTCCATTGATCGAGGATTCTAGATAAGCACTTCTTTAAAGACAGCCAGCGTGTACACACATATTTAAAAATTTTTCTCATTTCAGTATTATGCAGCTGTTGGAACTGTTTCAATTTTCCCTTCCTTTTAGAACTAATTTTAAGATAATAATAAATATCAACAATGTGTTCATCAATATTTATTGATAAAGAAGCTGCACCTTTTTCATCTGCTAAATTTAAGAGGTGACAGGTGCACCTCATAATCTGCAAATCTGAATTTTCCTTTCTTAAGATGCCTGAAACACCAGTCTTCAAGCCTACCATTACTGGTGCATTATCGGCACCAAGTGCTATGCAATTATCCAGAGGGACTGCATTTTCTTTTAAAGTTTTAATAATTAGCTGTGCTATATTAAAGCCTGTCGAATGTCCTTCTAAAGTTGGGTCAGAAAGTAAACTGCACTCAATTTCTGAAGACTCTGGATTTAAAAAAGAAACAACAACTGGATATAGTTTTGAATTCGTATTATTGCTTCCATCCATAGAGAGGCAGAACGGAGCTGTTTTAATGCAATCAATAACTGAAAATTTATTTCTCAAACCCATTTCTTTAACAATTGCCCCTGTTTTTGTCCTTGCAATTGATTTTGATCCTATGCATTCAGTGGCAGGTTGTGCTCCAGTAAAAAGGCAAAGAACAGACATTCTGCATTAATAACTTTTTGGTCCTTTGTTTCCGAAGAAAAATTTAATTTTTCGTTCTTTTTTTTTTTCCTCAAAAGAACTCACGTTGTCCCTGTGTTTTTGTGTACACATATGATTGAGAACATCCGCCCTTCCACCATGCGAAATCAAAAAATCGCAACGACAGACGGTACACATTGCAAATTTATTACATTTCTTGAGAAAATAATGGAAGGAAAGTCAACTGTGTACTATTTTTGAAACGTACAGGAGTATTTCACCTTTTTTTGCAGACATAACAAAAAAGATAATTTCTAAACTATTTGTCGAAGGCACGTGTACTAACACAACTCAGAACAAGATGAACGAAATAACTAACGAACATCCAAATAACAGCCTTGAGCTTGCTTTGCGCTCACTGGCTAATATATGCCAGACGACACGCAGTGGAGCTTGATGCCCATTGGAGAACTACGTTTCTGGATACGTATGCTCTCGTTCACAAAGCAGAAATTCTCATCTGATTCGCAAGGTTTTGTTTTAGATATAATCTAGAGAAAATTCAATTGCTTTCAGACGTCCAAAATCATTTTTTTTTCTTGTTCATATAACAAAGTATTAAGCCAAGTTCCATAAAAATCATGAGAAATTTTAAGAATAAAAAAAGTCGGGAGAAATATATTGTAAATCGGGTTGGCGAGAGCGGTTGAAAATCGGGAGAGTTGGCAACTCTGTAATACACTTTCTATTCAACGTGGGCCCTCTCCAATGTAGGGGCCTGGAGCAACTGCTCCGTATACCCCTGCCTTAGTCAGGCTCTGTGTGTAACATTAATTGGTATTGCTCTGTTGTTATCAGGGTGATTGGATCCAGAAATGTATGCATATATGCATGGATGTACGTGTTCATGTATGCATGTATATATGTAAGCTTGAATGAATGTGTGTATATACATACATATATATATGCACATACATACATACATACACACACACACATTTTTGAATCCAGCCCTGATAACAGAACAGTACCCATTAATCTAAAAAGGCATTAATATAACTTTTGAAATTATTTCAACCTTTCTGCGGACGAAATCTTCTAGGAGTTTTCTTCTGAAATGCAGCAACTTGTTCAGCTAATGGTAAATATTCATCTGTATTTCGTTTTCTTTTTGTAGGTTCCTTTAAGTGAAATGGTTGTACTGCAGTTACATGAGGTACTTTCTAAGATATATAAAAAAAAAAAAAAAAAAGAGGATATGAAGATAAGCAATAAAATAACACTGGTGATAGTGAAAATATGAAACTGGTATTGAAAAACATGGCACTTCATTCATTATACATGTGCATCTATTCAGTTTAAAAGTTAATAAATTTTCAAAAGATACATGCAAGAAATTTCAGCAACTCTTATTACTGGACAGATATCATGAAATACATCAAAAAGTATTGTATTTTCAAGTATTGTTATTGAGCAAAGTTTACAAATTTTAGATTACAATTCAATAAAAATAACAAAAATCAATAAAAATTACATCAAGCAACCTATACAATTACAATCCAATGATTTTTAAAGTATTATTGCAACTTTTACGCGACTTAGTATCAAAAAGTCAACACTAGTTCTGTACCTTGCGAAAAGGTGGCATTGAGCATCAAGAATTGTCCCCAATTGTCAGAACATCTACAGGAGTTTTACAGCCAGGTTTTAATGTAGCTGATGAAGAACATTCGGGAAAAGCAGCCTGTGATGTGCAAAACCTGGATGTTCCATGATGACAATGCACTATGTCAGAATATTCTCTTCACAAAAGAGTTTCTCACAAGACACAACATGCCTTTACTTCTGCATGTGTCACTCTCCAGATTTATATTCTGCTTAGAAACCTGGCTTAAAGGATTTTCACAGCATTGGGAAGATTCAGCATGAACCGCAGAAGGTATATGACATGCTTCGAGAAATGGACGTCCTGGACATGTTTCATAAATGGCAAGAATATTGGAAATGCTGCATTGTTATGCAAGGGGACTGTTTTGAAGGTGATACTGCATACATATATATAAAACAGTTTCTTTTTTTAACAAAGATAGTGTCAATACTTTTTTATACCTCTTTATTTAGGCAAGTTTCTAGCATCTAAATATCCTATTTCTGCTCATCTTGATGTTAAAAGACTGGAGGAGATAAGAATTACAACAGTAGTCTTTGCTGTTTATCATCCCATATTCTTCCATCCTATAGTTCAGTGACGGCATTTCAAATCTTACAAACATGCATTTAACAAAATTAAACCCTACTATACAACTTGGGGTTTTTAGATGATTTTTAAACACCAAACTGTAAAGAATAAATTCTTTTAATACAGTCAAAAGTCGTTAATCCGGACTTGTCGGGACTTCGGCGATTCCGGATTATAGATCATCAGTTTAAATCTCGTAAGATGGCATGCAGAAATTCTAAAATTAAAAATATGAAACCTTAATTTTATAAATAAAGAACAATTATAATCTAAAGGGTATCAAAATTAAATTAAAAAAAAAAAAAAACTTAATATTTATTTTATTTTATTAAACATTTCTTTTAATGTAAGTTGTTTTAAGTTGCTTCGTTTTATGTGATAATACTTTCTCTTTAATTCTATAAACAGACACAATTTCTTGTTCAGTTACAAAGTTCCGCTATTCAAGTCCTGTTAATTGTTGTGCCGAGAATACAGACTAACTTGTCAATCAAAATTTTTTCGTTTTCACTAACCTCTCTGCCACATTCTTCATGTCTTTATCCATTTTTTGCAGCAATTTCACTTTTTGTTTGATGGACATCGAAACATACTTTCGTTTTGTACGATCCTTTGGGAGCTCCAGAATCGGAAATTCTATTTGACATAATCAAAAGTCCAAGTTTACTTTTATTGCTCTTACAGTCTGCAAAAAATAATAAGCCGGATCCAATTCGAAGATTAAGGAACAGCGCAATCATCAACATTAACTGAAATACATAATTTTAGATTATACCGTCCGTTATACATAAAACGCGCCGCAAAAACGTATTCTGCGCTTGCGCCCACGCATGTGCACAGTGGTAAAAGGTCTTACGCGCACGTGTAAATGCCTATGCGCATGTGTCAATGCGGCGCATGCGCAGAAAGTTTTTAGCTTTGAGGTCCGGATTATGGGTGTCCGAATTAACGACTTTTGACTGTAAATCAAAATGTATACATGGTGTTAAAATAACATTAACCTCAGCGATGAACACACTGTGAAAACAAACTTGTTAAACAGAAGAGTTCTTTTACAGTTCTGTAGAGTCGAGATTCTTAGTGCATATGTTCTAGAGGGAGAAATCAGGACATGAGGTCAGCATCGATGTTGAAGAAATGTGTGTGTGATGGAGGGGGGAAGAAAGGTAAACCTTACACAATCTTCCTTCCTGTAAAAAATTTAATTAAAATCTGCAAAAAAAAAAAAAAAAAAAAAAAAAAAAAACATTAGCATTGCACGAATCGTTTTGGAAAGTTAACATGACATCCAGAACAAGTTTGGGAATTTGCTTTCGCAGGAATTTCTTCACTTTTTTCTGGAGACTGTTCGTCTACTGGACAAGTTGGTTGCTATGATGAGGCTTTGTCAAAATATAAGGCTCAGATACATTTGTTAGAACCAAATAAGCAGGTTTTACCTTGTCGATAGACAGAGTGATATTATGTCCTTTTTTAGAGAGGGTGAAAGTTTTATCACAATACTAGTGGAAGTACCCAATGCCAGTTAAGATAGATTGAGAGTAATGCATCTAACAACAAAGAGAATGATACCGCTGTAACCCTTCCCTAATAACGATGCAAAAAATATGATTCATAGTCATACATTTTTCAGTCTGATGCAATATGGGACCCACATAAAAAATTTCGATAGCAAAAATAAGCTTGTTTTCTCTCATTATATCAGCAACAATGGCATGTAGTTTTTAATGATTTTTGTCTTTCTAATCAAATGGTTGAAAAAGCTCTAGTTTTCACCTATACTCAATTTTAGTCGATTAAATGTGGCAAAAAATTTATCATAATTGATCAGAAATCAATAACGCAAACAAATAAACACAGAAACTGACATTTTTTCTTTATATGTATAGATTTTGTAAAACTGGGAAATTTTTGATTAACAAACTCAACAATTTCAAAGCGAGCAATAGCAACACTTTTGAAAGTAAAACATTTTATCTCCAACGCACGAGACTGTTGCCAATCAGAAAAATGAGTGTGAAAACTAGTGCTTTCAAAGTTCTTAATTAATATTTCGGCTGATTAAAAGTCTTACAAAGATGGGAATAGTCGAAATGGCTTCCCACGAATTTTTGAAATCGGGAATAATGTATTTAATGTGTGACAATGCTATTTTTATTTCATTGTAAAACTTTGAAACTTTTTGTTAACAAACTCTAAAGTGAGCAGTGGCAACAACTTTCTAAATAAAGCAGATTTTCATCTTTAGCTTGGGAGACTGTTGCCACTCAGAAAAATGAGGGCGAAAATTATCATTTTTCCAAGTTTTTAATTAATATCTCTGATTTCAGCTACTTTTTTTTGGGGAAAAATGTGGATGTCGACCTTTTACAGAACCCAGAAAAGAACTGTAGGAAGTTGAAAGTTTGGTAACGATAGCTATAGTAGTGACTGAATTATTAGCGAATAAACAGACTTTCTTCTTTATATAGAGAGAGATTGAAGCAACAGTAGCATTGTGTTTCACTTTTCTCCAAAACTGCCGTCATTACAATTACTACAGTATTTTACAGCAAAACTGCTAAAGTAAACAATTGCTTTGAATCTATTCTTAAAGTAATCACAAAAATTTCCACCAGGGAAGACGCTCTAGTTAATTATTTTATTGACTGACTTTTGGGTTAAATACTAATTAATTTGCAATTATATGCCATAAGTCTTTTTCTCTTGTAAAAATGGCCAGACTGTACTGTAATATTTTAGTATTTAACAAATTACATTTATTATCCTCGATATTGGAGTGGCAACACCGTATTTGTATTGCATAACCGTTGCTGAGCGATGTCAGAAATGTTTACAATTTTTTCCTGAAGTTTTACCAGCTAGTAGATGTATGAAAATTTTATAGAGAAAGAAACTGTAATAGTAAGCTGGAGTGTGAAGCTGTAATGGATAGGATTGTATTATCTATTTAATTGAGAATTTTTATGTTTTACAAAAAAGCTATCTTTTTCGTTAAATACATTAAAACTTACAGTCTTTTTGGATTCCACCAATATTAAATTCTTATATTCAGTATTGGTCTTAATCAAACTCTTTTGTATCTAATGTTCTGAGACTAAAGGTGCATCCAAGAGATAATAAGAGGTTTTGTTAAACAATAACAACATTTATTTACAAGAAAATATACGAAAATTTCAATCAATTAGAGATATATTATTAGGCATCTCTGCCTTCCATGTCCTACACCTTTAGTATCCTGCCTGCCACTGACTATTAGGACGAACGCAGCGCCCTCTAGTCAGAATGACGCTGGAAATACGTAATACTCCCCACCTGAACTCACTTGAGTTCACTTACCATTGAATTTTAACTAAATTTACATTCAGGAACCATTTAAAATTACAAGAATAAAAATATAAATAGCATATTATATCAAATACAAAGCTTCAAAATTATTCAGTGACTTAACATACAAAAACCAATTACACTTTTAACTTCCAAAGAAAATTGTTCAAATATCAAGCATTAAAATATAAGCACAATTAAACTATCATTAATACACAGATAGAACATTAACAGGTTGCAACTCAATTAAACTAACACAATTAAGGATTAATTTCCAAATTATACACAAGTTGTACTGAGCGTTTTATTTGTCCTTTAGGAGTCTGAATAAGAAGAGAACGAACTTTTCCATCTCTTCCTGGATATAGCTCTAAAATTTTTCCCATCATCCACATATTTCTGGGATAACGCTCATCATTAATCAAAACAATATCATTCACTTTAAATGAAACTATTTTACCTGGTTGTGGAGAAATATAAGCTGATCTTAGATTAAGTAAATATTCCTTTCTCCACCTGTTCCAGAAGTGATTCAAAAGTGTTTGCTGATATTTATATTTCTTTACCAAAGAATTCCTATTAACTTTTTTAATTTTAATTTTTATATTTTATTGCAGGTAAAGACACCAACCTTTTACCAATAAGAAAATGAGATGG